CCCAGTGGTTTTGGTGAAGATCAAACTGCATAAATATATATTTGCACAACGATCATAAAATATTGACTCTGACCTATCATTTGACCTTTTTACCCCGTGGGCACCAATTTCATAATTTCTAGGACTTCTTGGTGCTTATAATAATATATTTTTGAATTACCCAATTTTTGACCTATCCCCCCCCCCCTAATGCCTCTGGAGGCAGGGCCGTATAAATTTCATGAATTGAGATCCCCATGTACTACTGATGATCCAGCTAAAGTTTAGTCAAAACTAGCCTAACACGTTTGGAGTAGAAGCTTTTAATGTTGAGTTGGTGGATTAAAATACCTATGTGAGAAGATAATTAAAATGTGTACGCATTATTAGAGGGGGAGTAGGGAGGGGGAGTACCGGAGAAGATCATATACCACAACAATTAAAAGTAAATGAATGTAAAAACCTTCTGTCCTAAAACCTTATTCATAATGTACACGCGTACGTTAATGAATAAATGCACTTTAGTAGCGGGGACATCTATTTGATTACATGCTGATCAATCGAACAATATTGATGCACACGGATGTTATTCCGTTCATGTCAACGGAAAGATAATAAAATTCTGCAACAGACATCAAATAAAAAAAAAGCCACTGCTGTGACGAACGCGGGAAAATGTACGATATTGGTATTTCAAATTCGAGCCTTGATCTTTATTATAATATCAAACATATTTGATCATTCTAGTGTGAACTAAAATACTGTGATTAAAAAAAATCTGATAAATGTCACGGGTAAGTGAAATTGTACATGTTTTGGTAGTGTTTGTTAACTTTAAATCGTGTTTACACATATTCTTTCATTAAAAGAGAACATTTGCTAATGGTTATCTGAAGGCTTCTACAAGTATGATCAGCTGCAGAATCTTAATCACGTAAGCAGATAACCACAAATCGTCCTTTACATAAAATGGAGAATGTTTGTCATATGAAAATGTCTCACCGGTAGTGATGTCTCTAACAGACCATAATAATGTCAATTAACTAATATTCTATATCTCCTGACTCGTCACCTAAGATTCACTCCCTTTAGTCACTATAATACTTGAGGAGTTTGAATCCCGTCTCTCCAGTATCTAACACTACGCGTGACCACAACACATCATCACTCTGTATACCTACTACTCCTTGTTGTCCTTTGTTTGTGTGGAGTGTTTTTATGTACTTCCCATCTCCAGTTATTAGTTCTATTGTTTTCCTGTTCCAGTCAGGAATAACAATATTACCCTTACTGTCGTATACCACTGTGATCGGATGAAACTTGTCAGGTGTGACCGTCTCCTGTGTCTGTATCCCCTCCCCACGGTAGTGGACCAGAGGCTGGAGTGTTGGGTTATACACAATGATGTGACACGTGTAGTTGTCTGGATCACTGCCGTCTTCACTGATTAGTTTACAACTCATTACAGCTATGTTACCTGTAACAGGACACTGTGTGATGGATCGTACCCCACCCGACCCTGACCTCTCTACAATGACTGTATGTAACACCTGACCACCTGTTGTGTATATCACTACCTTGTACCCCTGTCTTCCCCCTGTACCCACCACAACCCGTCCCTCCCTGGTCACAGACAGTTTGTGTGGGTAATACTCTGTAGTAAATCTTCTGACAGGCGTAGATGATGTAGATACTTCATAGATAGTCCTCTCCTCGAAACAACAGAACCACAGACAACCTGTGATGGGATCTAGACTGATGTCTCTGATGTTACTGTTGTGTTGTATCTGCTGTAAGACTTCCCCTTTGTTGTTGATGAGATTTAGTGTACTGGTTTTTATATTACACAGCCAGGCACGTCCCTCCGTTATAGGACAGACTGATGAGATCTTATCCCTGTATGAGAACTTTGATATAATCGTTGGACTATTACACAGTTTAAAGTGCTGTACAGCCTTAGTGGACGTTTGGCCTAACTCTGTAGACTGGTTTTGTTTTACTACTGGACCTCGGTTATAATGACCACCAGTTGCTGATACTGCCCGGAGATGGTCAGTAGATGTCTCTATCACCCCCATGGCCTGCTTCAGGTGACTTAGCTTGTCCTTACTTGGAGTAAACTCTATCATACCTGTGTCGGGTATCCGTGGGATGTTGATGTCCATGTCCCGGACTTCTGTTGCCGAGTCATACACTAGTACATCAGTTCCTGTCTGGAGGGTCTGCTTACACTCTGATGAAAGTTTCACCAAAGTGTCTATCCTCTCGTCAAGGTCTGTGATATGTGACGTAAGTAGCTCAGTTTCTGCGTCCTCCATCTTGTCACATGATGTTAGGTAATCCTCTGTTATTCTATCTAATAAATCTTTACATTGATCTCGTTCTAATTTCATTTGATCACGAATGTTTTTGTATTTAGATTTTAAAGTTGAAAGACGTTCCTCGGCTGATTTCTTTTCCACATGAAGTTTCGGAATTCTTTTGTTCTCATTTTCACAAACAAAGTCCCGAACTTTATTTTTGTTCTGTTGAGTAGTTTCTGAAATTTCGACGAAACTGTTATTATGAGTCTTATGTGTTTTAATAGAACAGGTAGTACAAATCAGGAGGTCACAGTCCTGACATAAAAATACCACTTGGTTTTTCTTGTGGCTGGGACACTTGTCATGACCTTTAGCTCTGACATGAAGTTGACCTTTTAGATTGGAGAGGTCAGCGGATGTTGCCATGGTACTACCAAAGCGCAGCAGTGATGTAGATTTCAGGTAAGTGCCTCCTGGAGGTTCTCTCTGTGTAACAATAAAATATCAATCATCAATAGTTGTATAAGATTAGATAAAAAGTGAAAAAACTACATCACTTGTACTGTTTATATAGCGGTTACAATATCCAGAACGTCGAATTTACTTCACCAGGCGAGGATTGAAGAACATGTATCTCCGCATTGGTACAATATATACACCTATTCATACATATACACTAGAGTGATGCTAGCTTTGTTTTAATCTGTTTACATCGGGGAAAAAACGTGAATTTTATCTGAAAAAAAACCCAAGAATATAAGTGGACATAAGTACGAGAAGGTTTATTTTTACAAAAGGAAAAATCTGTTTTGATTTAAATTCTCAAGGTGTATATTTTAAGCAAAGTTTAACTAGAAAGTTCAGATTTGCAATAGATACGGATCGATGGTCTCGAGGTGAAATTGTAGGACTTACCAAAATCTCATTAATGTTTTCACGGAGTTACAGTTTGTTTTTGGTACTTTTGTATCTATGAGTGAGTGATGATATTGATATTTTATTTGTGTTGTTTATTTTAGTGCATGTAGTTGTCAAGGTGGAGCGATCTATTTTTAGCCTCGTCACTTCCGTGCGGCCGGTCCGGATATAACGTTGGCGAAATATCTTCCTTCTCGTAATGCATTACTTTGAATCGTGTGTTATCTAAAGGTAAATCAAGAGGTCACTAATGTATTCTACAAAGTCTTCACAATGTAGTACCTATGTAACACTGTAGACGTTGTTCTTATACATACTTGTACACTTGTTAATGATCATCTATACTGCTGAATACAGTAGACATTTTAGTTCCTTGTTCTATTTATCTGTTTATTAAATGACATGATCTCACTGGCCGACGAGAGCCTCAAAAAATATTGTTGTCAGTATGATTTCTCACAATATCATAAATGAAAATACCTGTTGTACAAGTCCTGAAATCCGATCTGGTAGTAAATCCCAGAGATTCTGAAAACTTGCCACAGAGAAGAAACGCCTCTGAAATAATGTACATATATATAGCTTATCTGTTGCTCTACTTATCTAGTCACTGACGTAACTATCTACACGGCGAATGATTGGTTTGATAAGATCACACAATTTAGAACAAGGTTTAGTGAGAAGTATCCTCAGTTCTATGATAAATCTTCCCTGGTGATGACCGATCAGGTATATCAATTATCTAATGTAAAGAGCTGTGGCATATTTATCTAAACGTCCACAGCTAATTATCCATCAATTCGTCTAGGTGCAAAATATGAACACATATTTAAAACTTATAAGTGATTGCCAGTTGCTTCTTCTTAGTTTTGTGATGAAAACTTATTTCTATTAGGAGATTGCGATGAAAATATTTTTAATGAATATTTGAAAATGTTCAACATCCACGAGGTTATAATAACATTTAACCTTTAGACATATTTAATTGAAAGCGTTTAGTATTGGTGGTAATAGGCGAATGGTTTTACTAGAGGTGAATTGCTTCACATCGCCGTTCACTGCTGATGACCACGTAAAGATGTATGTCTTCCATACGTGTCTGAATGACGTCTCCTGGGCGATTTAGATATGCAATTTTATTCTGGAACAATTTGAAACTATTAGTGAATACTAAATACATTTCCCTTCATTGCCTCATTTCTTTACTCAAAAAGTCTACTGTTTATGTTTTAGAAATTTATTTTGCTTTTCTATGAATAAATTATATGTTCCTTAGATCTCTCAGAAATCGTGTAACTGAATCTTGTGTTTCTCTTGCTTTACACATTCTGATTGCAACGCCATTGTATCATGGAGGCAACACAGAAAATACCAACATGTCAACAGAATCATAATTTAAACTCAAATTCAATAAAACTAGGACAATTTATATACAAAAGACAATTTTACCTGAAAAAGGACAAGGAAAATAAAAGGATAACGATGATAACAATAGATCATTTTCGTTATTGAAAATTTTAATTGACACTTTCATGTTTTTATCAGTCGCCTCCAACGCTTCAACAATTAGGCCATAAGCATCCCTGACGAGTCTTACAAACATCTGTGTGAGATTTAAAGTGTATGGTGTCTAATTAATTATTTACTTCTGATATATCCAATTGTAAATTTGCATTTATATGTGCTAATTCACCTCAGTGACTTTCATGCATGTAAAGACACAGGTTGAAAAAAGTGAAAACATGTGTCAAGATGCTGGATGTTTTCTATTTTCTAATACATTGTAGACATAATACATAATATATCCATTATCATCATGATCATCAGTATCATAAGACTTGATCATCATTGTCATCCATTCATCATCATCATCATCATCATCATCATCATCATCATCATCATCATCATCATCAATAACATTACACATCCATCATCATCATGATCATCAACAATAATATAATTCATCCATCATCATCATGATCATCAATATCATCAGATTTGCAGTTAAGTGTTTTTGCATGTATGACTCAATATAATCACTTTAAAGTCTATACAAGTTCAGCTATCTACAATGTATTACAACACACACACACCCTAACACACACACGCCATATCACACACATCACACACTCGCCCACCCACACACTCACGCACAAACAATCACATATACACACACCCTCCTAGTGGACAGACAGGGAAAGAGAAAAGAAGAGATGGGAAGAGAGAGAGAGAGAGAGAGAGAGAGAGAGAGAGAGAGAGAGAGAGAGAGAGAGAGAGAGAGAGAGAGAGAGAGAGAGAGAGAGAGAGAGAGAGAGAGGAGACACACAACTTTGTATTTGAAGAATAATAGACAGAAGAAGCCTCAATAAATTTTGTATTAGAAGAATACCCTTTTAAAGTGGACAAAAATTGTAGGAAAATGAGGTCAGGGTCTTTACACTCTATTACACTGTAAAACGGTCAAGATGCTGGATTGTTAACTTCATCTGGTACCGTTACAGGATCAATATTGTTTGGGGCCGAACTAATTTCTATTTGTTTTTTATCTCTATGGCAACAATAACAGCTTTCATTTGAGGCCATCTTCATTTCAAGCATGCTTTCTTTACAGAGGGAACAAAAGTTGTTGAAGTTCAAAATGTACATACCGGTGTTGAATTTGGAATAATCACCCGGAGGTGGAATAGGTGGAACATTGTTGTTTTCAATGACAGTTTTTCGTTTTGGTTTTGAATGAGTCGAAGAACCTTGCGTTTTCTTAATGTTTTCGTAATATTTGCATTCAAATGTGTTAATTCACATACGTGTCTTTTATGGAATTTTATAAAAAATAAATACACAGGATTAAAAAGTAATAACAAGGGTCAAGATGTAGGACATTCTGTGGATATTTACTTTAGCTTCACTAAAATTAGATCGTCAGGAAGTCAGAAAAATCTTTTTAAAAGTCTTTGCTATAAATTAAGAATATCAAACCTTTGATTATTTCTCCATCAAGTCGCATTCTTTCGAAATGAAAACTTGAAAGTTTGAATATTGATTGGTGTACTATCATGACATATTTAACTGAAATTTTTTAAATTTTTGAATTATTAAAGAAGAGTGCAGAAATCCGGATTCATTCCGATTTCCAACTTTGTTCTTACAATGAATTGTAGAGAGTCATAATATTTCACCCTCCAGTGCACCATTTTGATTCATATATACAATGTTATATAGTGTTTAATGTTTGTAATCAGTGTGTTACGGAGCTGGGCATCTCCATCTTACTGAATTTCTTTTAAGGATCGTAGAATAGATACACACGAGAACAACATCTTTTAATGCAGATTTAGATACATCAGAATCGAATAAAGATTGAAACTGTGTCAGGCAGTTGTTTCATCCTTTTACAATGCATGTTGACGTGAGTTCTATAAATTCTGAAACTATAAGGGTTAATAAATTGTGCATTATCTTTGCTCTATTATCTTTGTACAGGATAAATTATAAACTCGTTCTTCTCTGGGGACAATCATGTGACAAAGATATTTATTTGACTTAATTAAGTCTAGTTGTTTTATAGGTCTGTCTTGCTGATTATTTTGTCTGGTACTTTATTACTTTCTAGATAGAGCATTGGTATGTTGTTTATAGGAAAATTTCCATTGCGAAGAATTCCAGGAAAACACTCAGGTGTGTTTATTTGGCGTTTTTGTTTGTTTTCTTTTTTTGTTATTGTTATATTTATTTATTTATTTATCTTTAAATTTTAATGTCCTTTGTAAATTAAGAAATAAAAAACATGTTTTTGTGTTTTAATTTTATTTTTTTGTGATTTTTTTTTGTTTTTTTGTTTTTGTGCTTTGATTATATTGATTTATTGATTTATTAATTTCTTTCTTTTTTTTCTTTTGTTTTTTTTTTGTTTTGTTTTTGTCTTAGAAAAATGAAACAGCTGTATGATATTTCTTTTGTCATTACATCTAACAATACATACTGATATCACTTTTAAACATGTCTAAATAACAATAAATAGTGTATTGTAAATTAAAAACCCTCTGTCACGTAACATTTTGAAGCACGTGATATTTCCAGATTGCTATTTATACGTAAATGGGGATGAATGCACAACATGTTTGCTAGAAAACACGTAGGTAAGTAATTCATTTTGATAAACACTGCAGAGAAAGAAACCAGTACATTTACGTACGATATATACATTTTATGAATAATAAATTCCATTAATATCAGCAAAAATACCATCGGAGACTCTAGGAATCGACGTTATTGCCATGATAATTGCTAATATACTGTTTCAATGGCGGCTCCGTTAGGAGCACGAAATGACGTGTGAGTATAGCTCTGTCATAGTCAGTATATAGAGATAAATCATTTTTGACTTCACAGCACTTAAGCTGTAAACAAGTACATTACTATGGTCGACTGAAGTAGAAACAGATTTGATCGCTTTATTGTCGCGTATGACAGCACTTAGTAGGTCAATATGTGCTTGTCTCATTTCTTTCCTGAAATATTGATGTGATCAACTGTATTCTCTGTATGCGTTTTCTTACTGTTGAAGTTAAACGTGGCTATGACTTTTTTTTAGCGCCTGAGTGACACTGATGTTGTACGCGTGCATAAGTGGTGACACTGTTATTTTAAATCCTGAGTAACACTGATGTTAAGGCGCCTGCACGAGTGACACTAATACTGTAGTGCCTGAGTGACACTGATGATGTAGCGCGTGCATGAGCGACACAGATATTGTAGCGCCTTAGTGACACTGATGTTGTGGCGCTTGCATAAGTTATGACACTGTTATTGTAGCGCCTGAGTGACACTGATGTTATGGCGCCTGCATGAGTGACACTGATATTGTAGGGCTTGAGAAACACTGATGTTGTGGCGCGTGCATGAGTGATACTGATATTGTAGTGCCGGAGTGACACTGATGTTGTGGCGCGTGCATAAGTTGTGACACTGTTATTATAGCACCTGAGTGACACTGATATTATGGCGCCTGCATGAGTGACACTGATATTGTAGCGCCTGATTGACACTGATATTGTAGCGCCTGAGTGACACTGTTGTGTGGCGGGTGCACGAATGATATTGTAGAGCCTGATTGACACTGATATTGTAGCGCCTGAGTGACACTGTTGTGTAGCGTCTGAGTGACACTGATGTTATGGCGTCTGGGTGACACTGATGGTGTGGCGCCTGAGTGACACTGATGATGGTGATGGTGATGATGATGATGATGATGATGATGATGATGATGATGATGATGATGATGATGATGATGATGATGATGATGATGGCGGTTGTAAGGGTGCATGCATGGTACATGTTATTTGTTAATATTACATGTTGAAAATCTTTTGAAAGATAAAATAAATTAAAAAAAAAGCTATATGGTTAGATTTCGTTATTTTTTCCAAGCGTTTGGTTTTGGGCAAGATTTTTAATACTTAAAATAAGACTATTCACAAAATCATAATACTTTTTGAGTGAAAAAAAAGTCATAAACATATCAGATTCAAACTA